ACCCCGAGCTGGAAACGGATCCCCCATGACCCATTGGGAGAACATTCGATCTCGCCTCTTCTGCCCTACACCGTTTCCTACCGCCGCGCGGCTAGATACACAAAAGGGAGGCTTTTAACATCGACAAGTCCCTGAAACGAGCGCCGCCCCCTTTACTTTATACCTGAGAACCGTGATGCAATCCTTGGAAATAGTTTTTCCTTCCCGCACGTGTGTGATTACTCAGAGATATCCTATATACCTACTGCTGTTCGGTCCACGATCACCTAGCAGATTTCCCGCGAAAGGAATCGGGGAAGAACGTAAGATAACGGTTTCTCGTTTCGAACTTCGTTTTCGAGAAAGTTCAGTTTCAAACAGGTTGAAGTTAACTAAGCGGATAGGTACTCCAGAAATATTTAACCTCGAGTTCCTCGAAAATGAGATTTTACCTGAAAAAAATTATCTTGTACATTTGCCGCTGATTTTTTCATGTAGAATCACACTCTCGCCGCTTGAAGCACTAGTTACTCCGCGTAAATTCGTTATGGAAGCCGGTTTACCTTGGAGGTTAAATATTCATAAACGGAATAAAATATTTCTCTTTGACTAACAGAGTAATGCGCGTCTTCATTAAACTCGGTTCGCCGGGAGTCTGATTCGAGATTACGCGGCAAAGGGGTGTGCTCTGTAAGGCACGAGGAAAATCGTTGTTTCAACGGGGTATGTGGGATAGAGAAGAGATTCTGGCGGAAATATTAAACTCGTTCTAGAGGAAAGAAACATTCACGGGCGGAAAGAAAAGCGGCGGTTGAAGAAGGCAGGGTTGTAGGCGGGAAAAAGCGGACAAACCCTTAAATGGATCCTTTCTCGTTCACAGAAAAGGAGAGAGAGAGAGGGAGAGAGACAGAGTGGGCCTGCATAAAACGACAATGGTTTCTAATACCACTAACCGCGACGACGGGGCGGAAAGATTTCGCGATGCCTGGGCACGGAGAGTCGCAGGAAAGTCGAAAGCGCGGCCGCGGTAGGGGCCGCGAGGGTCTCGTATCGAATCAAAAGAAAATCCGTCAAAGAGCGAGCGCAAATGGAAAAGGCATGCACCGGGCGCGCTGCTTTGATATTATAACCGACGCGTTAACAAACGCTCGGCTTCGTCGACAGAGAGGCGCGGGAAGGTTGGAAAAATCGTGGGCCGAGCCACCGAAACATGGTTGCCGAGTCGACAGAGGAAAACTAGTGCTCAAAAAAATTAAAAACACCATCGCGCGCTAGTACACGCTGAGCGCGGGGACGGCGGAGGGTGCGGGGGTTGGAGAGGAGCGTGTATACAGATGCGGTTGCGCGTTGCCTCTACTTTTAACAGACCGAAAAAGCTCGACTTTTACGCTCTCGCCGTGGTGCAGTTTGGTAACGACACGCGGCGCTGCGCATAATATCAAAGCTATAGTTCTCCCGCGTTTATTTCTACAAATTAGAGGGGAAAAATGTTCGAGTATCGCGGCGTGTAATCTCCGGCTGTACTTCAAACGATTTTCATAAAAATTTATCTTTGAACTCACGGGGATAACCCGCGCCGTGTACACCGGTTCTCCGCGCAGAGGAAGAGGAGGACGCTGCCGATGCGCCGCGGCGTTTGCCATCGCGGAACAAAATTTTAAGTAGAAAGATAAAGGCACCGGATGCCTCGTCGCGATAAGTGGTAAGAGGAAGCTGGGCGAGCAAGAAAGTCAACGGTTGGATAAGGATCGTAGACGGAGAGAGGAGCGGGGCAGGGGTCACGGGGCGGCGGGGAAAAGAGTACGGGAGGCGCGCGGAGAGAAGCTTTTCCCTAATCACGGGCGAACGCCTGCCACGGAATCAAAGAAAACCAAATATCAGCGAGTGACGCCGAGGAAAGAATAGGGCAAGCCGCGCGCGCGTCTGGTGTGACGACGAGGTGTCACGGGGGTGGTAACGTAGGTTCACGAGCTCGACGCGGAAAGAGGATGTTAGGGGTAGGGGGCTAGTGGCGCAGGGAAACGAGGGTCGCGGCTGCCTGGTTTCACGGCGGCAAGGGTTGAATGTCGCCGCAGGCTCCGCTACTAACGACCAAGCGTGCGATTATATAGCGGCTCCGTCGATTTCCGCGCAAAAACCGCCTCCACTTCCGGTGCACGGGGCTCAAATTCGCGTCACACCTCCTTGTTTCCCGTGCCTGCGAAACGACGCCCGATTCTCGCCGCACTCCATTATCGGATCCTAGCTAACAGGTTCGTTGTAGGTTTCGCCGCGGGTGATATCCCGAAAATATTATTGGGGAAAATTCTATAACGTCCGTGCAGAGGGTGTTCTAGTTTTTTTTACTGAATAAACTTGGTTTTTGTACTATGTACGCGTAGATGAGAGAAAAAATGTTTGTAAACGTGGGTGTGAAATTTTATCGAAGAATTATAAAATGGTCTAGGCACTTGTTTAGTTATATGAACACAGGAGTGTATAGGGTTTTAACGATGTATAGATATTTCAAGGAGTTCTACAGACTGAAATGAAACGACGAGATTTCGGGCTCAGTTTTCAGGTTACCAATGTTTTATAATTTCTCGGAGCCACATCGATCCGCCAATAGAAACCCGCGTGAGGCAGGTCAGCGTCGAAAGAGAGGCGGAGACGTTACTCGCGCCTCGCTATTGGCTGATATTAATCTCTCATCGTCCTCGTTATTTTGTTTTGTCCTATAGAATCTGAAGGTTCGCTATCCCTTTTAAACTAGCCGAACACGAAAACCGTATTACACAAACACTAAGGACATTACAAAGGGATTAACGAGATTTTCAATCTCGTTCAGATTAACGCGAGCTTCACAAAAATTCGCACGCGTAGGGTTGCAAGCGCACCAACCGCGATGAATTCATCTCGAGCCGCACAACAGAGGACACCGCGCGACGTGGGGGCCGCGTTTTAAAGTGCCATCGAATAGTCGAAGCTCGGGCTTGTTTTTCAATTTCTTTCTGCCGTTGAGCGGCGTCGTTCTCGTTTCCGCGGCGTTTCGAAATGACAAGGATTACAAGGGGTTAAGGGCGGGGGTTGGACGGGGCTCGCGACTCTTTGTCAGGATTTTCACCGGACTGGAGAGCGCCGCGTAGAGTTTTGAGTGCGGTCGCGTATTGTCCATTCGTTTCTCCTGCGGACGCCTGTCACGAGCATGCGTAACTTAATTTTCCGCGGGCCGGTGTCGACACGGGAACGGGACACGGAGAGAGAGAGAGAAAGACGAAGAGAGAAAGAGAGACGGCGGACGACAAAAGGACCGAGCGTTCCCTCCTGCGCCGATATCAAAAGGGTTTCACGGGAATATCGTAATTGACTTTACAATTAGCATCGGCCCCGTTCCGTCTCGGTCGGAATGTCGTCGGTATTCGTCGACGCCGGCGAGGGGCACCTCTAATGCCCGCGCCCCCTTTTCTTACAACAATTAGAATTCGTCGGTTGAAAATTGGTCCTGAATCCAGGAGCGAATCAGCGACGAGGACCACTCGCGTCTCTCCCCCTTATTGTCCAACTAATTAGAACGTTCGATCGATTCATTTCGCCGTAACAATCGGCGAGCCTCTTAATTAAAATTCATCGGTGGCCCGAGCTGAGCCGCTTATCCCAGCCGAAACTTCGACAACTTCGCGATCCTTGCGAAGAACCTGCGAAGCCTCCTCGCTAGCCAGGAATTCGCCTATTTAACACGCGCCGGCTCGAACATTGTTTCGCGGCAGCGACGAATCCGCTTCGGGGCCGCGGCTCCTTTCTTTCGCTGCCGCGTCCCAACCCCCAGTCCTAGCCCGCGCGCCGCCGGAGCGGGTGAATTATGTATAAGTGTGCCCGGTGACTTCAAGATTTTAACGAAGTTATCATTTCCCCGCCGTCGGCCTCGCCCGCAATTCCCGGGGAAAAGTTAACCCCTACCTCTTCCGCCGGCAGGCTTCTCCCGGAGAGAAAAGTTTCGTAACGCGGTTACCGCGCGCGGCAAGTTCCACGGGATTTTTCAGCGAGACCGGGTTTTCTTCGCGAGCCGAACGGATATTTTCGAACCGCGGACTCCTCTCGGTTCGTTAAGCGTTCGCGAGTTACACGCCCGGCGTTTCCCCTGTCTCATCGGGGCCGCGACGAGAAGAAAAGGAGCATCGCGACGAGAACCGCGGGAATGTATTCCGCGTTCCAGCGTTAATTCTCCATTTTCCGGAAGTGGCGGCCGCCCATTGTCTGCGCGGCGCGCTGGCTTTCCCGTTGAATATTTTTTCGACGTGTCTTCCGCGTTTTTCGCGCGAGAAATACGCGAGTTTCTCTCCCGGCGTTAATCTTCCGCGTGATTTGTCGCGCGTTCACGCTTTTCGGGAGCTGTCTCCGAGGAGAACGTTGAACGTATACCTTCGTGAGGTTGGTTCATTAAATATGCGGATTAACAATTAATCCGGTCCCACGGTGTGCTCGAATCGTGTAGTTTTAATAAAATTTCTGGGATCGCTTGTTATTCTTGCGACGCCGATGTCCCGCGGGACGAGGGGGGATATCGATTTGAAGTGAGAATAATATTGTTTGTTTTATCGTGGGTACTCGCGGAGGGAAGACGTTCTTCGTATGGTAAATATAATTAATTCGTGGTTGGCTCGAGATGTTCTGGGTTTGATGGATGGAACGATTCGAACCGGTGAATACTGACCTCGCCTGCAGTATAATTCTGTGAGCGTAGACCGGCGTCTCGTCCCGGCCTAGCAGAAAGGCGATGTCAGCTGTATCTTTGTCCTCCGAAAGTCGAGCCAGGTCCTCCAGGAGTCTCGGCACACCGGCTAAACCAGCCTCGCCAGATACCCCCGCTGCACCTGGTGACGCGCCCACTGCGACGGCCCTGGTTCCCATCGCGTTTTTATTGATAATCACCAACTGCGTTTGAAATGAAAGAATATGTTAATCGAGGATTATGCGTAGAATGTTTAGAAATAATATAAGTGGTGAAAATATTGTTGTGAGTTTGTTTTAGAGAGTTATAAAGGTTGATCGTGCAGAGTGGTTTGTTGATCTTTTTAACCTAGAGATGTGAATTCATTAGGGTTCACTTGAATTGTGCAGCAGAACTTTGTTTAGACATCAATGCCAGTTTTCAAATAAAGATTCTCTGTTTAAGATTAGTTGCATGCCTTCAATTTTTATCAATTTTACTGTAATTTTTATTGCATAAGTTTCAGAGTAACATGCATGTAGTTCAATCATTGCAATATCTAGATACTACGCAAAATTTCATATAGATATTTAAAAAAATACATTGCCTAGGAATTTGCTCCTCGAAACGTTCTATTTTCTTGTTCCTTTTACCCCCTACAAAAATTGACAAAATAATTTCAAATTAATTCCTCAATACCCCGCATTGCACTCGTTTCAAAGCAACATCTGACAACATAATCCGCCCAGCGAGTTCCTCGCGAACCATAACGCCCGTCGCATTAATTCAACAATTGTCTCTAAGCAATTCCGTCGCGTACGAGGACTCTTTTGATTTTCTAATAGCCGTGCCCCGAACGAACGAACGAACGAACAAGCCAGCCCGCCGGTCGGTAGCCGAAGCAATAAGCGTTAATCCGATATTAACGAGGCCGCAAACAGAAGTGAACCCATGACTGATGACAGCCGCCAGCCGTGAATGGCGGACGCATGTCATCGTCTCGAACATTTTCCGGAGGGCGACCGGGGTGCGCGATAGGCGAGTCGCGGCGAGGCGAGGGCGAGAGAAAAAAGCAAAACCGATTAACGTACAATCGGCGCTAATTGCACGATTAATATTTGATTTGCACCACGTCGCGACACGGCCTCTCTCTCTCGCTCCCTCTCCTCTCCGCTACTACGTCCCACCCTCTGCCTCTTGCTCTCGCGTGAACGCAGTCGGTCGATCGATGCCGTAGATTTTGTGTCACGGCGGCTGGCTGATTCCCTTTTAATTAGTTCGGGTTTTGTAGTTTTCGAACGCGCCGCGCGTCGCTCGCGGGGGAGGGAATCGCGATCGCCGGTCATTTGCTCGCTTCCTCTTTTCCCCACAATCCGCCTGCGTCTACCACCGGCACAGTTGCATCTCGCATTCCGACGCAGTGATTCGATTAAAAAGCCATCCGTAGCCGAGCGAAGGTTTTGTTTGTCCGCTGGTTGAGCAAGTCGCGGCCGTAAAAAATTCGTCGAACGGCCCGTGTGTCGCGGCCAAACGATTCTCGCTTCGTCCCGCCCCAAACAGACTTTTTCACCGGGAATCGCGAGGCGAGTAACATTATAATTTCAGCCGTTCAGTCTCGCGGCGATCATCGATCGCGACCGCCGAAAACTCGTCAACGGATACCGAGATTCATTCGAAGCGACGTACTTGACCAAAAATCGGCTGCGAACTGGACGCCGAACCGGTGTCCGCGCTCGCTCGCTTGCGCGCGCGCGCGCTAGATCCTCGACCGCGGACGCTGCTGACTGGCAACGTTTGTTTTGAATTTGCCCGAATCGAGAGCCGCTCGATATCGTTTCGCGAATAAACAAACACACTCGACTGGCAGCGAGTTTCGGAGCACGACGCATGGAACGATCCGCGCGCCTCGCGGTCAGGTAGAATCTTGTTTACGAGGAGAAGACGCTCGTCGCGGGGCACACAGAGGATCTCTCACCTTCGAAGCCAGACGCGGTGAGGAAAGGCCAGCCGAGGAGGAATATATTCGAGCGCGGTGACTAAGCGAGCCGAAACGGCGCGCGCGGTATCCGTGGCACACGTGGACGAGTATTGTGGTCTCCGCACGCGAGACGCTGCATTTTCAGTCGATTCACAAATAGTCCTGAGCTCCCACGGGCCGGCACATTGTTTCCACCGAAGTTCCCTGTGTGTCGACGCGAACGCGAACGCTCCGGCCGGGCGTTCCTCACCGTTGTTCTACAACACAAACGTAGTCCCGCGAGATCCACCGCGAGCACACATCGAGGACCCGACGAGAAGAGAAAACGGACGGGACCGGGAGAGGAGAGAAGAAAAGAAAAGAAATACACGGGGAAAAGCCGAGAGAGCTGCGCTCGGTTTCGGGCCGGAAGTTTCCAAGTTCACCGCGAGCTATTTCTCGAGTACGAGACGAGTTTTACGAGAGCTGGACCAGGCCTGCCTCCCTGTCCCGTCGCCGCGCGTACCCTTCCTCCTGGCTCTCCTCTCTCTCTCCGTCCCTCTGGCGAGGCTCAGGTGTGCTCGGACCTCTTCCCGCCTACGTCGATTCCATCCTTTCTTCGCGTTCTCGCGTGGCCAATGCTCCTGCAAGATCACTCCTCCTCCTCTTCCTCGTCGAGCCGTTGTTGCCAGATCCTCTCTGGAGCACCGATCGCACGATCAAAAAGGATACATCGGGCGCGCTGCCTCATTCCAGCTAGCAACGAATGCTTCGTCTACTTCGCCGATATTCTCCCCTCCCCCTTGTCCTCCAGTGGACGGTTTTCCGCCCTTCGTCCAGCAGCTCCGTTTATCCACATTCCACCCTTTGTTCCCCTTAAATCGCACCAAAGGCAAGACCCACTTGCTAGCTCTGCCTCTTGTCTACTACAACCCTCTCTCTCTTTATCTTCGTTCCCGTGCCTTTTTCTTTCCGCCCCCCTCCCGCCCCTTGTTTTCGAGACACACACCGGAGTTGCCGTGGTTTTGCTCGGTCGCACGATATTGCCGCAATGCAGTTGCTCCCTAGTTTTCCCCGGCAAAATGAGATCGTCCTTTTATTTGCGTCGCTGTGCACGCTCAGCCTCTTCCCGCACCAACTCTTCGACCCCTCTGCCAGCCTTTTCCGCGTTTCTGTCGCCGGATCCGACGTGATTTCTCTTGGAGTTTCCACCGGATCACGTCGCGATTTAGACGCTTGAACTCCGGTTTCCGTTACTGCTGCTGGCAGATTGTATTTTCAGTTCAATTTCATGGCGATGGCTCCGACGTGCGGCTGCCCGGCTTACCGCGGAAACAACGCGCCCAATAAGGATCAACCCTTAACGGACCGGGTGCACGTGTTTGATGTGTATGCGTGGGCCCGGAAAATTATTGTTTCCGTAGGTTTCGGTCGGGGATCTTCGCGTGACGGCGAAGTTACTTGGGATTGGAAGTTGTTTGGAAAATTTCTTGGATGGTTTTCACGGTGTAGACAGTGCTTAAGGGAGTGTAAGATTTTTGGCAGATGGACTTTAAAATTGTAATTGTACGAAGTTAAATATTAAAGTAATAGTCAGAGGATATTATTAAATATTAACGGGAGAAGACTTAATTACATCCATTATCAACTTTCTTACGAGGAAAATCTTTTTACTAAGTTTTAGGAAACTCAGTTTCCTTTTTAAAGGGAAATCTTCCGAGCGTTCTGGTAATTTTGCAAAAACTGCTGCTTCTTAAAGCGTCGGTGTGGCTCTGGTAAATATTAAAACGGCTGTGGAAGAATATTACCTGCCACCTGATGCGACTTACAAAATACCCAAAAAGGGAAGGCTTTAGTTGTAGATGGAGAAATTTTCTTTAAAATTGCATTTCATCGAGAATGGTGCCACGCCGGTGTCCATATTTCGATCCCTGAGCACAATTATCCTGGAATCTGGCCGGGGTCTGCATGGAATTTGTAATGTCGGTTGTAGCGGCTATTCCACTGGGATGTGCTTTAACTTTCTATGTTTCTCATTTAACTTGTTCCTCCGGTATCGCTGCGTTACGCGATGAAAATGATAAATTACTGGGTTGCGTCAGGAGTAGGTTCAAGATTTATTGATCCATGGTAAAACTTCCTGAAGGCCCGGTTGATGGTAAGGCAGACATGTTGCCCCGCAGCTGTAGTATCGATCGCTGGTGTAACGATCGATTTATCGATCGAACGATTCGTACATCGATAAATCTAACTTTCTATATCGTCCATTAATAAACTTTATTTTCTGCATCGGTACTTCCAATTCAACGTTGTTGATTTTTATCCATTTACATTAAACAAAGATACTAGAAACACATTATTATATAAAATACGAAATAAAGTAAGACATAAACTTCCAATCCATAAAAAATCAAGAACGAATAGGAGTTGACTAAAATAAGTAAATTTCTTACAACTTTCATTATCACTACAATAATGCAAAAATTCTAATTCTAATAAACAATCCAATTAATTCTCCTAAGCCAAAGCAAGCTTCCATCCCCGACACCATAGCCATTAAGAAAACGTTCGCCTTCGTTCGAATCGATACAGTTCCACGCGAACCAATCGCAGAAATTTCCTCCTCTTATCCCCCGCCCCCAGAAAACTGTCTCATTTCGTCGATCATCCCGCAGCACCGGGGCCGCGGAAAATTCGCTGTTACCGTCGTGTCGTTCGCAATCCCCGCCATAATGTGGCACACATCATCACGCTGAAGTGTCTCTTCCGGGCGGACGAGTCGCAGATTTCCTGGCCGTCATTATTCAGCCGGTTTTTCGCCATTGAAATGGAATCCCTCCCCGGTCCGCCGGTAATAATCGGCGAAAGATCGCTTAACGACCCTCCACGATAAGAGCGGGCCGGCCGCCATTCGCACCTCCGTGAAATCTCGCGCGCTGGCGTAGCGCCTAACGAAATTGCCGCATTATGTCGTTTAACGCCCTCGGAAATACGACGCATCGGGAACCCCCGGGAAGAGAATAAAACTTGCCGGAGAAATGAATTCCAACGTAGTTTTCTGGGGGAAATTGGACAGGGCCCCGGAAAACGGGGGCGAAAAGAGACTCCGAACGAGGGAGGAGGAAATTACGCGGGACAGAGCGACGCGACAAGCTATAATACGGGGAAAGGTGTCAGCGAGTGCGAACAACCTCGGGTCCGAGGATCGCGATGCATAATAGATGCAGTCGGCCCCGCGCTTTAGTGCAAACAGGAACAAATTCCTCGGCGCATTCGTTGCAACAATTGAATCGGTAATCAAGCCGGTACCCGATAATCGAATCAGCCCTGGTACACGCGTAATTGAAATTTCGCAGTCGACCACTGCAAACAACCACTCCCGCGGCCCCGACCGCCCCGCGTCGGTCTAAACACGGGGCGAAATTGCCTTCGCGAATTTTCAACCCGGCCGAAACGTTGGCCCGGTCGATCTTACAAATTGTCGCCGGTACAGGGAAAAATCGATCGGCGATGGACGCAGAGTGCGGGGATGATCGATAGCAGGCGCCGATGCGCGGTATAATTCGACGGGGCGAGAGAGTTTCAACGGCGCGAAATCGTATTTTCGACGAACGGAACGCGCCGTCCGTCGCGGCGGGAACGTCGGGAACAGGCGTGACGCGGAAGAGGAGTCACATGAACGGCGTGTCATTCCGATTTTCCGTGTTCTCTCGCCCGCTGGAATTGGGAGAGAAATATTCTCGCGACATTCTTTCTCGCGGTTCGATCGTTCCATTTTTCGGATGGTTGGGAATGTTACTTGTGTTGATTGAGCGAGACAGGATTTTAAGGAAACCATGTTTTCCTGTCTGTCGCCTGCTTGTAAAGAGCATATTTATTTCTTTGATATGTTTCAGTGAAAGTAGGAGGACTAATGAGTAAGCTATTTATTAGATCCGCTATATGGATTGAACAGCTACAATTATGCGATTATCGCAGCGTCGAAGAAAGGTGTCTTAAGTATTAGGTACCAGGAATCAAAATGTAAATGCAGAACGTTTTTGTAAAAGAACTTTATTTTATTTCATGCCAGCAGCATAAACGTAATTTGTCGCTAACGCTAATTTTATGTATTAAGTTATAAATGCCAATTGAAATCGATGCTCCATTAATTTCCAACAAGAAAACCGCACGAACTTTCTCCCGTACCTAATAAGTTTTATCAACACTGCAATGGATGTTCTCTTTGCTAATACCGAAGCTGTGAAGCAAACAACTGTGAAACATTCTCGAGATTCAACTATTCAGTTCATCAGATAAATAGAAATGTTCCTTGTCTACATCATGCAAGACCAGATTTTGTAAACACACGATTCTCCGTGGGTTCTCGCCTGTTACATACTTGTTAGGAGGAAGTCAAAGAAGAATTATTCTCGGGACGAAGCCTTCTTGCGCTTCAGCCGTTCGATTTTTCGGTAGGACGGCTACGTTACTTGTATAACCAGCACAGGACGAGATTGTAGGAAGACGCGAATTAATTATCGTGGTATAAAATGGGCATTTAATTAACGCGGACGACTGAACCGACCGGGGAGGGTTGCTTCTTATTCGCGCAACGGTGTCACAGACGGAAGAATTTCTTCCTCCGAGCGAATCTCATTTCGCCAACTATGAATAAAGGCCTCGGTCTGCGGGGGTCGACGGGGGCGGACGGTGGTCGCCCGCGCCCGTCGCTGTTTCGCGTAAATTGACCCTGAGGAAGGAAGCATTTCTGTAAACTACTTTCATTCCGTCCCCTTTTGTGCCCGGCCCGGCCATGGTTCCGCCTTGAAAGGAGCCCGCGGGATCTATGGAAAACTGCACGGTCCGCGAGTCCGCGGGCACATTGACGCCGCGGCTCAATATCAATT